ATTTTGTCTCACACTTCTTCATTTCTAAATTCTACTAAATCTTTCAAATTATCTTAGAATTACTCCAAAATCATTTAAACTTTAATATTTTTTCCAAATTATGGATCCGATAAATCACATGTTGATGTCGAATCCTGGCATAATCCTAAATAACCTCTCTTTAAGAGTAAATACGCAAGAAGTTGCTTTTCTGAAGATTTTAAATTTTAGTTAAGAAAAAAGATTATGTTTATTTTTAATTTCTCAAATATAAAACAAATTAACAATACTTAAAAACTAGTGAATTTTTATTTTTTTTCAAAAGTCTCTTTTTAAAAGTAGATATACAAGTAAAAACTCTTTTAAGATTTCAAGTTTAATTTAATGAAAGAAATAATTTTGCTCTTGATTTCTCTTAAAATCTTGTTAAAAATCAATGAAATAAACGATATGTAGAAACTCAAAGAATTTTCAAAAAGTTCACCTAAGTATCCTTATCTAAGAATAGATATACAAGGAGAAACATACTTATATATCCTAAAATTTGTTCAAGAGGAAAGGTAAATCTTTCGATCGAAACTTTAAATGACATCTAAAGATGAGAGAATATCATATTTTTGTATTAAATTATCTCAAACGATTATATTTAAAACTATGCAGGTTTTAGTGTGATATAAAAGACTTGTATAATGTGAAAAAGTATTTTAGATCATATTTTTATATGTTTTCAAAATACAGAGAGCTATGTGTGAGAATCGTTTGATATATTTCATTATACTACGTACCTTAGACAACTTTTTGTTTATATAGGTTATATGATGTGTTTCTTTATATCACATGTCTTGCACCACTATTTGTTTTTAGAGTGGTATGATGTGTTTCTTCATATTATATGGCTTACACAACTTTAAGTGTATAGAGACTCTATGATGTGTTTCTTTTTATCATATCTACATATGGTCAAAAAGCCTTATAAAATTTGTTCTAATTTTTTTTTTTTCCAATTTTGTTATGTTTCAAAAAATTATCTTTAATTACTTTTGAAATAAAAACACAAAAGAGTAAGTTTTCTGAAGATGTTCAAATAAAATTTCTTTGATATTTCAAAAAATATTTTGATCCATCTTTAAAATTTACCAAAGTCCATAAAATTTTCTTATGACCTTCAATTGTTTGAGTATTCCATTTTTCTTTTATTTTACATCTTTTCACGAATTCTTGGCACCTGGTTTCATCATCTTGTATTTTTGCCACAAGTTTTTCTCCAATTACCATCTAAACAATGTTAATAGAATATTGAAATTTTATATTAATCAAAATAAATTTCAAAGAGCTCGACACTAATCCTCACAAGTAACATCACTTGTCATGTATTATGTAGCTTCCTTTTTCTGAATCATATTTTATTAAAAAAGATGAATTTATTAAATTATTATTCACAGATAGAATTGAGTGAGTAGATAGAGAAACTATATAATAACACACTTTAATTACTTTTTGACCCTTTTTGTACTTGTAGTGTTTGACCAATTAACCGGATCATAATAATTAGAAGAAAAACACAAGTCAATTGACTGTGCCCCCCCGCCATTCATAACATTTTGTATAGTCGTCAATTTCAAGAACAAGGCATTTACTTGCCCACACAGATACTCATCTTATAATTTTCTGCTTCTTGCTTGCAAGATAATATTGATTCTGTCAATACACAATGAATGCATGGATCAAGTTCTAGAATGAACTGACATGAGTTGAGCGTATGTGAACAGGTTAAGAAATCGGTAACTTCAAATTTTGTTTGTTTGGTTGGGTTGGAATATTTGTTTGTATACAACATTATAAATTCGTATATATATATACATATATATGTATATACGTACATAACTTATACTTACAAAATTAAGATAATATAAAAAAAAAAAGAAAAAAGAGAGTGAGTATTTTGGATTAGGAAATAGGAGGTTACTTGCAACCAATTCAAGATGAGAAAAGGGCATAAGAGACAACTGGGTTTGGTGGCTCAACCCAATACAACAACATCATCAACCGATAATTAATTTATATTGCTATTGGTACTTGTTTTCATTTCATTATATATATATATATATAGAGAGAGAGAGAGAGAGAGAGAGGATATGTTTAATGTAGTACGTATACGTATTCCTATAAATATGGAAAATATAGTAAATAGGTAAGGTGAAATAATGCATGAAATGATGTAATAATATATGTACGTTCAGAATCCGGGAAGTTGAATTTTGTACGTGGGGAATGACAGAGGATGGTGGGGACTTCGTTGACTTGGTATAGCTTCACCCTTTACATATATGTACATATATACATGTAAACCGGGAGAATAAGAAGCAGCAGAAGAGGAAAGGAAAAGAAGCAACTCAACCGCTCACTTTCTGGTTAGAGCTCAGAAACCATAACCCATTTGCAGCTAATACACTTTGAACAAGCAAGCCCCATTCCAACCACTACTCTAAATCAATCCATGAGCTTCCATCCCTTTCACATTTATAACTTGAACGGTGCTTCCATTTTTCAAATATCATTTCCGTCTTCTTCCTCTGACTCTTGACTCTGACACTGATCTTCTTATCCCCTTCATTTCATATCTACGCGAACACCTGTCCCTTTCCTTTTCTTTTTCCTCTGTGAAAGAGTAGCTAGAAAGAGGTGTTTGGTATCGTCATTAATGGCATTTACTCACTCATGCAGTCTCTTATCGATCCCTGTTTATATCTTTCAACTTCCCAATGCAGCAGCGTATCTGTAATGCCCATTTCACCTGTTAAAACCACGCGTCTTCTCTTACCCCAAGATCACCACCTTAATTTTCTTCCTCATTGCTTATTAACTCTCATACTGCTCAAAACAAATATGCCCTGAATCTGTTCCATCTTCATCTTTCTTTCTCAAGCAAATGATTATGGACAAACAGAGAAATCTTGTTTTCTTTTTGTTGTTTTCTTTACGAGTGTTGCTGGTTTTGTGTCAAAACCAGGAGCTGTCGGTTCTTTTGGAGGTGAAGAAGTCCTTTGTGGATGACCCAGAAAATGTGTTGAAGCAGTGGGATGCAAACAACCCAAACTTTTGTGCTTGGAGAGGAGTTACTTGTGGAGTTGACTCAGTTGATAACTCACTGCGAGTTGTGGGGCTCAACCTCTCTGGTTCCTCTCTTGGCGGATCAGTATCACCCTCGCTCGGTCGTCTGCACAACCTAATCCACCTTGATCTTTCTTCTAATCTTCTCGTGGGTCCAATCCCACCTACTCTGTCTAACCTTTCTTCTTTGGAATCTTTGCATCTTTTCTCTAACCAACTAAGTGGCCCCATCCCAACTGACCTTGGCTCGCTCACCAGTATCCGTGTCATGAGAATCGGTGACAACCGACTTACCGGTTCCATTCCTGCACCTTTTGGGAATCTTGTAAACTTGGTGACTCTTGCCTTAGCCTCCTGCAGTCTCACCGGGCCACTACCCCCCGAACTCGGTCGACTCACCCGAGTTGAGAACCTCATACTGCAAGACAACCAACTCGAGGGTCCAATTCCTGCTGACTTGGCCAACTGCTCGACCCTCACTGTCCTCACCATCGCTTTCAACAACCTTAACGGCTCAATACCTGCAGAACTGGGTCTCCTTGCGAATCTAGAAATCCTCAATCTGGCCAATAACAGCCTGTCGGGGGAGATACCGAGTCAACTCGGTGGACTGAGTCAACTCAGGTATTTGAACTTGATGGCAAACAAGCTCGAAGGTCCAATACCGAGGTCTCTGGCAAACCTGGGTAGTCTTCAAAACCTGGATTTATCGATGAACAAGCTTAATGGGAGCATCCCGGAAGAATTTGGCAACATGGGTCAGCTTGCATACTTGGTTTTATCAAACAACAATCTTTCAGGTTTGTTCCCCAAAAATTTTTGTTCAAACACTAGCAATTTAGAACACTTGATTCTATCAGACATTCATCTTTCCGGCGAAATTCCTCGTGAGTTGAGCAAGTGCAGGTCGTTAAAACAGCTCGATTTGTCCAACAATACCCTCAATGGATCAATACCAATTGAGGTATTCGAGTTGGTTGAATTGACTGATCTCTATCTCCATAACAACAGCTTGGTGGGTTCAATTTCTCCTCTCATTGCAAACCTCAGAAACCTTCAATGGCTTGTATTGTATCATAACAACCTGCAAGGGAATCTGCCAAGAGAGATTGGGATGCTAAGTAAGCTTGAGGTTTTATTTCTTTATGAGAACCACTTATCGGGGAAAATACCTATAGAGATTGGGAACTGCTCAAGCTTGAAAATGATTGATTTCTTTGGCAATCATTTCAGTGGGGAGATTCCCAGTGAAATTGGAAAGCTTACAGGGTTGAATCTTCTTCATCTGAGACAGAATGAACTTGTGGGCAAAATTCCCGCCACATTGGGTGACTGTCATCAACTAATCATCCTTGACTTCGCAGATAATCGTCTCACAGGTGGAATTCCAGCATCGTTTGGTGGCTTACAATCACTTGAACAGTTCATGCTTTACAACAATTCCCTTGAAGGTATTCTTCCCGATACGCTTTCCAATCTAGTAAACCTTACCAGGGTCAATCTCTCCAAGAACAGGTTAAATGGTAGCATTGCTTCACTCTGCAGTTCGTCTTCGTTTCTTTCTTTTGATGTTACAGACAATGACTTCGACCATGAAATTCCTCCCCTGCTGGGGAATTCACCTTATCTTGAGAGGTTAAGATTAGGGAAAAACCAGTTCACTGGGAAAATTCCCTGGTCTCTGGGGAAAATTCGTCAACTCTCTTTGTTAGATATGTCAGAGAATTCACTCACAGGAACAATACCACCCGAGCTGGTATTATGCAAGAAACTCACCCATATTGATCTCAACAACAATCTTCTTTCGGGTGCCATACCCGCATGGTTTGGGAAGTTGCCTCAGATCGGAGAGCTTAAGCTTGCTTCCAATCAGTTTTCTGGCTCTCTTCCGCTGGAAATTTTTAATTGTTCCAAGCTGCTGGTGCTTTCTCTTGAAGGGAATTCTCTTAATGGAACAATCCCTGTTGAAATTGGCAACTTAGTGTCCCTCAATATCCTAAATCTTGATAGAAACCAGTTCACTGGATCACTACCTTCATCTATAGGTAAGCTGAGCAAGCTTTACGAACTTCGGTTGTCACACAACAGATTAAGAAGTGCAATACCTGCAGAGCTTGGACAACTCCATAATCTTCAAAGCATTCTAGACCTCAGTCACAACAATTTCACTGGACAAATCCCACCTTCTATCGGAACACTGTCTAAGCTCGAAGCGCTTGATCTTTCTCACAATCAGTTATACGGAGAAGTCCCTCCGCAAGTGGCCCAGATGATCAGCTTGGGCAAGCTGAATCTCTCTTACAACAATCTTGAGGGCAAACTGAGCAAGCAGTTCTCACATTGGCCACATGAATCTTTTGAAGGAAACTTGCGTCTTTGTGGTGTCCCTCTTGGCAGCTGCAGCAACGTTGCATCCGATGATCACCAATCAGGCCTGAGCAACACCTCTGTAATTGTAATATCAGCAATTGCAACACTGGCTGCCATTGCACTTTTGATACTTGTAGTTGCTCTGTTCATGAAACAGAGGAAAGAGTATTCCGGGAAAACAAGTGAAGTGAATTCCAGTTACTCCTCAACCTCTTCACAAGTACGGAAGAAACTGCTCTTCCACAAAGGAGCTGCAAAGCAGGATTTTAAGTGGGAAGGCATCATGGAAGCCACAAATAATCTGAGCGAAGAATTCATCATTGGTTCAGGAGGATCAGGAACAATCTACAAAGCTGAGCTGGGTAGTGGAGAGACGGTGGCAGTGAAAAAAATTGTTCAGAAAGATGATATGATGTTAAACAAGAGCTTCATCAGGGAGGTTAAGACCCTAGGGAGGGTTAAGCACAGGCATCTGGTGAAATTGAAAGGTTATTGCAGCAACAAAGTAGCAGGTTTGAATTTATTGATATACGAGTATATGGAGAATGGAAGTGTGTGGGATTGGCTTCATGGAGGAGTTGAGAATAGCAAGAATAAGAAAAGCCTGGACTGGGAAGCAAGAATGAGGATAGCAGTGGGATTAGCCGAGGGAGTTGAGTACCTCCACCATGACTGTATGCCAAGGATTGTTCACAGGGACATCAAAACCAGTAACATTCTCTTGGACTCCGAGATGGAAGCACATTTGGGAGATTTCGGACTAGCCAAACCACTTGTTGATGACTATAATTCGATCACAGAGTCAAATGCCTGGTTTGCTGGTTCTCATGGTTACATTGCTCCAGGTAGCGAAAACTGGGAACTGTATATATAACATATATTATGTTTCACAAATCAGTTTTGTCATACTTGATTCTAATAAAAAAACATTTGTGTGGTGTTAGCAGAGTATGCATATTCTTTGAAAGCGACGGAGAAAAGCGATGTTTACAGCATGGGAATTGTGCTAATGGAGCTGGTTAGTGGGAAGATGCCAACAGACAGAGCTTTTGGTGTGGAAATGGACATGGTGAGATGGGTGGAGACATATATTGAAATGCAAGGTCCAGGAGGAAGGGAGGAGTTGATTGACCCTGCTCTAAAACCATTGTTGACGGGAGAAGAAACAGCAGCTTATCAGGTTCTTGAAATTGGATTACAGTGCACAAAAACTAGTCCACAAGAGAGGCCTTCAACTCGCCAAGCCTGTGATCTCCTCCTCAATGTGTTCAATAACAGGGTGGTTGATTTTGACAAGTTGAGTATCGACCCTTATACGTGATTATTATATATACATTTTGTTAATTTTTCCTTTTGTTGGACAATGTATTTACTTTGTAGATTTTTATTGTCTCTGCTACTAAACTGTACAAATAAGCTGGTAAATGCAAAAGCTTACCTACTACGAACAGTATGAAGTGCGGGCATGCAAAAAATATTCAACCTACAGAAATCAATATGTATGTTAGTGGATTCTCACTGTAGAGGCTGTTTTTTTCTACTGGGTTACAGCTGTTAATTTGGTTTCTTGTGGCATCCATCACGGGTAAAAATGAGGGGTGATTTAAGGTTCGTAAGAGCTTATAGATAGAATTATTCAACCAGATGAACAAAGATTGCCACTTTGAAAATTAAATATTCTTTTGATTTTCTTCTTCATCTCTATCTATTAATAAAAATGCTTCGAGCATATTAGCATAAAAATATGCTTGTATACGGTTGAGTTACAAAAAGTGACATGACAAACAAGTTTGGCATGTGAGCAAAATGGCGTCTGCTTAGTAAAATCAGGTTATAGCTTGGCATATTACCAACAATTAAATACGTTCCTAAAAATTTATTTTGAGATCTGGGATTTAATTAATTATTGAAATATACAATTCTTATATATTTTCATGAATACATATACATCAAGAAATTCTTTTATATATATATATATATATATAAAAATGAATCTATACATTTAACGAAACCTTTGACTTTTACATCAAATAGAAAGGAGATATTAATAAATTTTACTAAAGCAAAGGATAAAATCATATTTGAAATAGAAATATTTTAGCAACAGATAGAAAAAATTACAGAATGTTCTTTGCATTTCTCTCTTTTTTTTTTTTTTTTTTTTTTTTTTTTTTTTTGGAAAAAGCTTGTATTTTTTCCTGAATAAATACCTTTTTCGGTTTTCTTAATGTATAAACGATAATTCAGTCCTATGTATATTATTTTTTAAGAAATAGATTTTTAATTATAAAATTGGTTTTTGATCTTTTACTACTTTTTTTAATATTAAATTTAAGAAATTAGTTTTTTGTAACGGTCCCGAAAATTTAAATGAAATATATGTATTAAAAACGTCAAATGCAGAAGCGTAATAAAAATTTAATTAACATCCC